TTCTCACTGGAGTGTTCTGTAAAACAGAAAATCTGACTGATCCTTCCAGATTTTGCAGTGTCACAGTCGTTTTCCGTAAACAGCTGCCAAACTTCAGAGTCTGTCTTCTATCCACCGAGGAACAGAAATATGCAAATACTCAATTTTCCAATGTAGTGATGTATAGTCGATTTTTCCTTCTTTTGGATTAGCTGTACATATAATTCAGTGTTCAAGAGAATTGCCAATGCAGTATAACTGCTGTTATAAATACATTTGCATGGAATTTAAGATGTGTTTTTTATGGAGTATTTCAGAGGATAATGGATAGTTATAAATGAATTAGAAGGCAGTAATCAAATTAAGGGACTCATAATCAGCAAAGCTTGATCAGCTTGAAACTATTGTCTGGAAACCAGGATTAGTAATGCATTTAGATTTACTTTAGCAGCTTTGATTATTATTTTATACTAATGAATGGGTCTGTTGTTTTGTTTCCTGTTGAAAGACAAACAGTACAAATGATGTAGAATTAAAGTTTAACCAGTTTAATGATCTGTGGATTGTTGGTATGCCTGACTGTTGTATTAGTTTGTTTGGATCTGTAGATTGTTTATGTAAACTAGTAATACAGTTTTATCCTGCTGCTGCTATCACCACCCTTTACTTAATGTTTAAACAGAAGTGACTGAGCATGAGAGAGGAGTGACTGCTGTCATTGGTCATGATATTAAAGCATTTGAAATCAGAAGCAACCTGGAGAGGGGGGAATATATTTAGGAATTGACCTAGTCACTGTATTCCATATTTCTTTTTCAAAAAAAAAAATGTCATACAGAATGTTACAGACAGAAAATGAATTTAAGAGAATTAAAACAAAAAACATGGTGCCAAATATTTTATTTGGTTGAGTACCGAATCTAAGCAAACATCCTTCAATGAGAAAATATGAACACAGCTGTATGTATAAGCTGTTTGTACTTTTTCAATGCGAAGGTAATTTGGAAATTGCCTTCCTTTTAGACAACTCTCATTTAATCTGACTGCTGTTTTGCTAATTCTAAGAAATTAGTAGCTGACCAAAGTGAACTTTTTGTGTTATTAGAATGAACAGTTTGTGCAAAGATACAGGTCATAAAAATTCAAACTATCCCAGCAGTCTTTTTTTTTTAACATCATCCTTTGGACCAGGCGTTGTTTACTACAGTGAGAGAAAGTCCTCGATCTCTGTCAGAAGGTGTTTGACAGGCAATGGTTATTTTTCCCACTTCCAGCTGGTGCCTCCCTGTGGGATCACAGCCAAGAGAATTGGCAATGCAATGTAGCTGCTGTTATGAATACGTTGGTTCAGACCTTGCTACAGATCAGGGCAGTACTAAGGGAATGCTACACTGTTGGAGGCCCCCTCTTTGTCTAATATGCTAGGCTGTCATAAGCAAATTCTGAATGCACTTCTTTTTGAATTTGTCTGGATCTGGCTGTTTTGTATGGCAGCTGCTGTGAGATGGAGCTCATCCCTGTGATAGTATGTGAAACAGTAGATGAGGTGGTAAGATGTTAGTTTTTTCTTTGGGAGCAGCAGGTTGAAGCTGAAATTTGAGCTAAAACCCAAAACAGTTTACAGTAAAGATGCAATAGCTTTAATTACAGAAGGATAGGAAACTTGAAAAAATAAATTGTAGAACTTTAATGAGCCAAACCCATTCCCCTCAAAAAGACACCAATATTGCATACAACGTTATAACACAAAATATGTCATATAATACACAAGCAAATGTACTCATTTTTCTCCACCCTAATTATTCAGTGTAATTGCACTTTCCTCATTTGGCCTTCTTAATATTCTTTTGCATGCAACTGACTGTGTATTTTAAGCATCCCTATACAATCTTTCAGAGATGTTTGTCGTGTAGATTCTTGAATCCTTGTACTGTCTTAAGATGGCTGATTTCTATTCTTGCCCTTTTAATTCTTTAGTAAAGTGATAATTACTTTCAGAATGTAATTATTTCTGACCAATTCTGAAACCGTCAACAAAGTAACACCTTTGACCCATTCACTTCCGCATTTATTTGTGGAGCAGTAGCTATTTGAATTTAGTATTTTGCTAATATTCAGTAACTGCTAATCAAATGTAATAATGAATCAAAAAAAGCTAGTATTTTGCAAGGATAATTGCACTCCATTGCTTTCCCATCTTTGTTTAATTTCTTCCTCATATAAACTCTAGATCCCCACGTTCATATCTCTGTTCATTGTCTTGTCTGCGTTGCAAGTCGCCACTCATAACCTCTCCATGGAAAAAGTACTTAGAATGGCACTGTCAAATTCCAAGCTGTCTGGCCTTTGGGTGTTGATGAGAATATGTTTCCAGTTGTTGGTCAGTTTAATCACCCTCTCACC